TCTCAGTCTGACTTATTTCACTTAGCAAAATACCCTCTAGGTCCACTCACATTGTTGTAAATGGTAAGATTTCATTCTTTTTAATGGCAGAGTAATACTCCATTGTAGAAATGTACCACCATTTCTTTATCCAATCATCTATTGATGGATATTTTGGTTGTTTACATATCTTGGCTATTGTGAATAGCGCTGCAGTAAACCGTGTATGGTGTCAGATGGGTACCAGACTTATCGGGGGATCACTTCATAAATTATATGCCTAACCACTACGTTATACATCTGAAACTAATATAAAATAATATTGAATGTCAACTATAATCTAAAAAATATATAGTTACAGAATGTAAAGTACAGTATAGGGAATATAGCCAATGGTATTATAATAGCTATGTGCGGCGTCAGATGGGTAGTAGACTTGGGGTTATCACTTTGTGAGGTGTGTAAATATCTAATCATTGTGGTTTTGTACACCTGAAACTAATTATATTTATATATATATACATATATATATACATATATATATATGTATATATATATATGTATATATATATATATATATATATATGTATGTATTCTTGTTCTTTGTTGCCACAATATATTATTGAAAGCTTCATTCTTGGAAATTTTATTCAAGATTACCAAATATAATGGTAGATAAGATTTTCAAAATTTGGATTTTCTAATCCAGGATTTCAAAAGAAATCTAACTTAACCTTAGTTTCATAAGTTCAACCTCTTGATCAACAGGGAAGATGTTCTGTTCTCATTTAGTTTTAAAAATAAAGACCAAATGTATCTTTTTGAAATAAAATAAAAACAAGGGCCCAAAACCTTGATTATGTGAAAGGACTCTACCCAAGATACAATTTTCTTTTGAGTTTGATGGAAAAAATGAAGCAGCTTTATGCAATGGGCAAAATGGGCAAGGACTTTGAGTGAGATTGCCCATCAGAAAAACTTGATTTTCATTCTCTGTCTACATAAACTGTCAACCTTTGAAACATCATTATGCAAGCCTCAAGGAAACCAGTCAACACACTGTCACTGGACTTGTATAGAACTTTTACTGCTGATATATATGAAGGAAGATGAAAATCTGAAGCAGAAAATGAAGACAGATGTAACATTATTACATAAACTAATTTCCCCTGAGTTCCAACCATGGGAAGAAGTAGGTCCTGTGGTTTATATCCATATCCTGAGTCAGATTAGGTGCTTGAGGTGTATTTTTTTTTTGAGGTGTATTTTTATTTGTGAAAATATTGGCTCCCCTGTCAATGATACTTAAAGTATGAAAAAAGCTTTAGAAATATAATAACAGACCATCAGAATAATAAAGTGAAAGTTAAGGATGTATTGTAATTTCTCACTCTGGCCAAAAGCTCTATCAAATACTGTAAGGGCTAAATGGTATATTATATTTATATTTATATATATATATATATATATTTATTTATATAATATACCATTATATATATAGAGAGAGAGACATATATTACATATATACCAATATGTATATATGTGTTTATATATATATATATATATATATATATATATATATATATATATATATATATTAGATAGATGATAAACAGATGCAGATAATTATATACATATAGTAACACTATGTAACATAGAGAAAAGATTTCACTTCTGGATATTTTTTTAAATGACAATCAGCATCATGGATCTTTCCAGATGAATCTTTCTTTTCTTATAGAGTAGCCTCATCTCTTAAAAAGTTGAAAATCAACTTTACCAAGGTCACATAGATAAGTTTTATTTTAACATACTATTCTTTCTACTAAGCAGAATCACTTGGTAATCACTTCATTCTTTCAATCCTCATTTTAACCTTTTTCTTTTTTTCCCTCCTTTGTCTTATATTGAATTTGCTGTGATCCCTGCATTCAAGGTTATTTGTCTGTCTGTCTGTCAGTCAGTCAATCAAATCTGAGTCGGAAGACTGTATTCTGGTTCCCAAAAGCAAAATAAATTTACTCTGAAATGTATTTTACAAATATTGTATTTAAAATGTGGAATATTAATGCTTTCCAAAGCATTATGCTAAAGCATACCTACTATCACAAAAATGCATTAATTAATTTAAAACATTTATATATTAAAATTTTGAATATAAATATTCTAAGTTTTAAGTCTTATGCCACTTTATATTATACACATTTTTAATGTATTTCATAAATCTTTTCTACGACTGCCTTTATTTTCAGTTACTATAGAATTGTCAGCAATAGGAACCCCTTTATGTGTAAATTGACCTATTGTTCCCTAGAATTTTTCTCTTATCTCCACCTTCTCTCACTTTGTTATCTGAACTTTTCATATAAATTTTACACTTCCTTAGTTTGGATAAACTATGATTTTGCTACTTTTGTCTATTCAACAAAAATAATAGAACGAATTAATATTAATTAAATTATCATCTTATTCTGCAGGACAGAGGGTCTTTTAAAATAAATTATCGTAAGGCCCACTTACTTTCAAATGGTAACATTTATTAAAGTTTATGGATGAATCAAAACGTGTTTCTTCTCTTTCTTTTTATTTCACCCACCTATCCCCTCAGCATACATATTACTTTCCTGACAGGAAGGACCTTTTTGTAAGTCAAAGTGTGCTCAGATAATGTCACCCATGTCGTGGCCCTCTGCATGCCTGGGGCTATGCTCATATTCCATACTTAGTATTTTTAACAAGCAGTCAGGACAGTGTTTGTACATGGGGCCATACAGTTGCCCCAGTATTTTAAGTACATCATATAGTTCGCTTTGGACTTATCACATGCCTATTTCTAAGATTCAGCTAAGAAGTTCTAGTGAGCCTACCTTTTTCCCATTTCCTGACATTCTCTCAAAGGAATTCAAATGAAAACAGATTTTAACAAAGCTAAAATTATGCCAGTAGTTTTATTTGTTTTATTTGAATGTGTTAATCAGCTTTCAAGGCAAATAAAAAATTTTGGAAACTCATTAAGCTGCCCTGAGGGAGACATGACAAAATTATTCTTTGAGTAGAGCACTGCCTTTCAAAACAACACATTTGTCAGGATGGTTGGGTGAAGAAATCCTATTATTATAGTAATACGTGATTTTAATTTGGTAAGTCTTTGATTTTTACTTGTTAACTTTTATTTTCCAATTAGACTGTTTTTCTTTGTTTAAGCTGTGCTGTCCAATATGGTAGCCACTGGCCACAGGTGTTTATTAAAATTAAGATTAAATACAACTTAAAATTCAGTTTCACTAACCACATTTCAAGTACTCAATAGCCACATGTGGCCAGTAGCTACCATATTGGATATCAGATTATAGAAATGTAGTCATTGCAGAACGTTCTATTGGACAGTATTGCTTTAAAGATCATTCCACTGTGCTACACAACTTAGTATTTAAACTGATAATTATCACATTTCTATAAACAGCGAAATGTTTTAAAGCATCTCTAAAAATCTTCAATTCAGGTGTATCTCTTTTCTCTACTTAGTGCATATTTTTTCCAATTCTGGCCCTCTGACATTTATATCATCATCCTCATATTATGAAAGAAACAACGAAAGGTCAAAATAAAGTGGAAGTGGCATGTCTAGTCTGTGGTAAACACAAAATTGTGATCTATATCTTTCTGACTCCTACGTATTTTTCCATTTCATGAAATAAGTAGATGCCATTGCATGGATCTTACCTAAAATTGCTCGTTTATAAATAATCTATCACTTCTCTTTCTGTTTTTACTTCTTATACTCACACAAAAGTCTGCATTTCACTCAAATTCACTAAAAAGATCTATAGCCTTCAATTCCTAAATGTATTCATAAACAAATATATCTTCACAACATATTGGTATCAGCTGAGCAATTTGCCAATATTATACATCCTCAATGCCAAAACCTTCAGATGATATACATCACAATATCTTATTTATGTGTTCTTTAAATATTTTTTAACATTGGTCATTATATTAATCCAAACATGGTAACAAATTGTCAGAGAATGTTTATAAAACTTTGAAAATCCCTTGACCATATCTATATTAAATCTACACATTTGTTCTTTTACACATTTTCCAAGATCATTCAAGTGCTTGTACTACTTCACACACCAAAATCTGGGTTTTCTACTACTCTGTATATCATTTAGGTAATTCAAAAGAATCACCCTTTCAAGGGATAAACTCAGTAACTGCACATATTTTGAAGGATACCAATGTTTCCTTTATTCTTGCATCTGCCTTCCCCATTCCAAGGCCCAAATCAAGTCAAAATAGGTTTCTTCAGATTAACTGAAACTTTTTGACTAAAAGGATTACTTACCCTTTACTGAAAATGAATGTTCTGTGTTTTCAAAGAATTGGAACAAATTGAAAATATTTAGCATTAACAGCACATTGGCTAAATATACTCTCATTTTGATGACTCGAGATTCTTCAAGATCTTACCTTGATTTGAAAACCATCATGCAAAATATTTATCATTATTCTATATATGTGTGAAAATGCTAGTAATAAAAAATGTTCTATTCGCCTCTCAAATACATTTGTTGGCATCTTTTCTAATGGCAAAATAAAGCTTTCTATCTAAAATAATCACTGGGAAAAACTGAGAGTCTGATTTGTTGATTTAACATTTAGATTTACTTGTTTAGGTCAAGATTGTGGCAGAGTCATGACAAGACAGATTAAAAGTAAGATATTGGATTGGTTATTGAGTTGTAAGTAGCAGAGTTGAGTCCTTTGTCTGCACCCTATAATAGATTGTTAAGTGACACACAAACCACTGCTTGAAAATGAATATACATAAAATGAACATTCAGATTCATAAACCCAATGCAATTACAAAAATCACATTGATGAGTTTTCTCCACTATGCTTTGCTTAAACTGAAAAATTAGGGTGGTGACTTACCCAAAATTTGAAGTACACTAAGATCCTTTATTTGTCTTTAAAAAATGAACTATCTCTATCAAAGTGTTTTTAAAACGCACCTTAATTAGTTGGTAGTTTTGAACTCCGTTTATTCCTATGTCCGGATCAATGGCCGCTGGAAGAGCATATCGAGAGTTTATAGCCGAGTTCTCTGGAATTGATATGTTGATAACCGTTGCTGGGAATAATGGTGCATTATCATTTATGTCTTCTATCAGAAAACGTATCTTAACCAGTCTAAATATTTCATCTGGCAAAACAGCAACCTCCACTTCGTAAAAGCAACGGTCGTCCAGCAAGATACCTGCACATAATTTCTCACGATCAATGCGTGCTCCAGTAGTAAAGATCTCACCAGTATCCTCTTCAATTCGGATCAGTGGCACATCCCCAGTCTTGTACACTAGCTTGAACTGCATAGGAGATGTTAAGGACTTGTCTGGAATCAGCGACAAGTTGAGGTCTTTCACCAAGTCGCCTATCAGGACGTTTTCTGGCATTTCTTCCCGAACAGTGTAGTTCTTCTCCTGGGCGCCAGACTGAAACACGACGCATGCTAACAGGACCGCAAATATATACGTCCCGGACAACAAGTCCATACCAGGTACACTTGTAACAGTTCTTTGTATCAACCCGCAGAGTACTGACAAAGAGAAAAAAGAAGAAGAAGAGAGAGAGAGGAAGAGGAAGAAGAAGACATTAGTAAAGCCAACAATTAAATATATGTTAACTAATTTCTCAGTTTTAAATTGATCATTAAATGAAAATATCAGCAGAATCAACACTGTAAAATAAACTCACAGATTTATTTTGAATTAAATATTATGCATTTTTACATTAAGATGAAAGTTAAATGAAACAAGATACCTATAGTATTTAAGAGACCCAGAATTTATAAAAGTGTTCACCATAGATAAAATATATAAAAGATAATATTATAACATATGAAGATAGTTAAAGTTAATAAAATCATTAAAAATATTTAATTCAATGGTTATGGAAAAGTAAAGGGATATGTTACCAATCACAAAAATATAATCATTATTCTTTGTCATAGTATGGATTTCAAGTACAATTCTTTTATTAGTAATAAATGTTTCATACACTATTCTGTATGTTCAGTTCTGGGTATCAAAATGTAAAACCCATCTAAATAAGAGGACACAAAGAATCATGACATATGAGAGACTCAGGAAGTTTGGATTAAAAAATAAGTCCTTTGTCAGGAGAGGGACTGATACGACAAATGCCTAAACATGGAAAGAAGTATCACGTGAAAACGGTATTCAAGTTTTCTTTCTTTGGATGAGAGGAAAAACAATAGGGATAAAACAAGGGGAGGCAACTTTCAAATGAACCCAAACGAGTGCCTATTAAAGCATTCTGAGGGGAAAAAATGGTTTTCAGGAGAGAGTGAGTTCCATATTCTTTGGAAGTACTGATATGGAAGCTCTAGCACCAGTTTAGCTCTACATATTTAAGATTTGGTAGACAATATCCAAACATTAAAGAGAGAACTGGATGACAAGACATCCCAACTCTGAGAATTTATGTTTACAGATGGCGGAACGTTGCCCATATGAAAATGGGTTTTCACATCTACAAAGTAAAACAGGAATTACCCAACTACAAGGAACAGCTTGACTAGGGTTTAAAAATAAGAAAGGTTGACAGAGTGACATCAGAACCATGGCAGTGTGAGGGGTCCCCTTGATCTCTGCCATTAAAGTTACAAGTGGAACACCTAGAATTCAACAAAGGATGCCCTACACAACAGACAAACATGTGACAGATCTGTGCATCAAAACATCTGAAGGTGGGCAAATCGGGGCAGAAACGGGAGGAGGGAAGGGAGAAAGGCAGAGACTGAATACAAAAGTGTGACAGCTGTGGTCTAGCAGCCCTCACAGCAAGGAAGAAAACAAAGCCACAGAGCCTGGCCACCTCCCCCCACCCTCGCAGATCTCACTTCCATGCATCTTCCCAGAGCTAGCAGCTATCCCCAGAAAAAACTTTAGCAGTGAGTGTCGGGTTAAAGAGCAGAATATCTACAGCCGTTGCTGAGTGGCAGATGCACACTTTGGTTAATCCAGTGACAAGGGTGGAGATACAGAGGTGAGGCAGCTGTCGTCTGGCAGTTGCCATTACTGGAAGGAGAACAAAGCTACAAACACACCAGCTGCTTCTTTCAGCCTATCCTGCCCACACCCTTCCCGGCAGGTCCCAGCGGGGGTACCTGGGATACCTTAGGCAGCACAACACTGCATCTGGCCACAGGGGCAGCACTTGGGATTTCAGGGGCTGAGAACCCCGTTATCCACCACATTCTCCCATGGGGGTGGTAACCTAAGACAGAGGAGACTTGGTCACAGAGGACACATCTACCTCCCCAGGGAATGTAAGGCATTTCCATTGCGCAGCAAGGATCTGAGAAGCCTGAGCACTGCAAGAAAAAATAAAACACTCAAGTGCCACCTACTGGAAAACAAAAGAAAGACTTCTTCTTATCAACCTCTTGCAGAGTTCACTGCCATATGTCTAGGCATAGAAAGATCTATCGAATACCATGAACAAGCAAGGTAACATGGCAGCTCAGAAAGAACATGAAAAATCTCCAGAAAATAAACTTAAAGATATGGAAATGTATGACTTAAATGACAGAGAATTCAAGACTGCAGTAATGAAAAAAATCAACGAGATGCAAGAAAACTCAGGCAGTTTAATGAACTCAGAAATAAACTCAGTAAACAAAATAAACACTTTATCAATGAGTTTGATACTTTAGAAAGAATCTAACAAATTCTGGAGCTGAAGAGTTCAATAAAAGAGACAAAGAATGAATCATTAAGCTTAAGAAATAAAGATGACTACATAGAGGAAAGAATTAGAGATATTGAAGACAGAATTCTGGAAATGATGCCGATAGAAGAAGATAGAGACTTGAGAATTAAAAGAAATGAAAGAACTCTACAAGAATTATCTGACTTCATCAGAAAGAGCAATATAAGAATAATGGATATACCAGAAACAGAATAGAGGGAGAAGGGCACACAGAGTCTATTCAAACAAATAGTTAATATGAACTTCCGAAACCTATGTTAAGAAAAGGATCCTCGAATCCCAGAAACAAACAGAACACCCAATTATCTCAATGCAAAACAGCCTTCTACAAGGCACATTATGATAAACTGACAAAAATTAATGACAAAGAAAGAATTCTCAAGGCAGCCAGGGAAAAGGAGACAGCAACTTATAAAGGAAAGCCCACTAGATTACCATCAGATTTTTCAGCAAAAACTCTACAAGCTAAGAGGGAGTGGAATCAAATATTGAAACTATGAGAAGAGAGAAATTACCAGCCAAGAATAATATATCCAGCAAAGTTATCCCTTAGGTATTAAAAAAGAATAAGACTTTTCCAGACACACAGAAGCTGAGAGAATTTTCTACCACAAGGAAGGCCTGCATTACAAGAAATACTGAAAGGGGTTATTCTACCTGAAACGAAAAGGCAAAAGTAAACAAAACTATGAGTTAGATGACTAACAGATAGACAGATGCAGGAAATTGCATCCCTTATTCAGAATAGGGCACTATACAATTAAAAACATTAAAGAGAGAGAGAGAGAGAGAGAGAGAGAGAGAGAGAGAGAGAGAGAGAAGAACACAATGGATACTGTAACTCAGAAATGAAATCACATTATAAATAGGGATAATTTGTGACAACAAACAACATAAAAGGGAAGTAGGTGAATGTCTGAATTTGCAAAGGGAAATGAAGATAAGATGCATGCAGAAGAAAAAGGACTACTGTATATATGAAACTTTATTTTACATAAACTTAGTGGTAACTATGCAAAAAAATCCAGAACTAAACACATAATGTGAAAAAAAAAAACAGGAAACAGAGGGAAAAAAAATCACAGAATACCAACAAACTAAAATAACAGACAAAATACAAAGGCAAAGAAACAATGGAGACACCAAGCTATCAGAAAACAAAAGATAAAATGGCTGTAAGAAAGCCTCATATTATCAATAATCACCCTAAATGTAAATGGACTGAACTCACCAATAAAAAGTCACAGGGTAACAGTTTGATTAAATTAAAAAACCCAACCATCTATGCCCCCAAAAGACATCTTTCAGCTGCAAAAACAAATATAGACTCAAAGTGAGGTTAGAAAAAGATACTCCAAGCAAAAGGCATCTAGGGAAAAGTGAATGTAGTCATACTTATGTCTGATGAAGCAGACTTCAGGATTAAAAAATGTAAGAAGAGACAAACATGGACATTTCATAATGACTAAAGTAGACAATAACACAAAAAGACATAATGTTTATCAATATATATGCTCCCAACCAGGGAGCATTAAAATATATAAAGCAACTACTAACAGATCTAAAGGCAGAGACTGATAAAAACACAATTATAGTAGGGGACCTAAATATGCCATTGACAGCTATGGATAGATCATCAAAACAGAAAATCAAAATAGAAATATCTGCCTTAAATGACACATTAGGCCAAATGGACACAGTCGAACATTTGAAGAGCTTTTCTTCCCAGAACTCAGGATTATACACTCTTCTCTAGTGCACTTGGAACATTCTAAACGATAGGCTATATGTTGGGACACAAAACTAGACTCAACATATTTAAGAAGGCTGAAATCATACTAAGCATATTCTCCAACATCAATGCTTTGAAATTGGTGATCAGCTGAAAAAGAAAAGCAGGAAAAAAACCAAAAATATGGAGATTAAACAGCATGCTAGTAAAGGACATCTGGGTCAAAGAAGAAACAAAATGAGAGATCAAAAGATACATAGAAACAGATGAGAATGAAGATATAACATATCAAAATTGTTGGGATGCTGTGAAAACCGTATTAAGAGGGAAATTCATATAATTACTAGCCTATGTCAAGAAACAAGAAAAATCCCAAATAAACAACCTAACATTACATCTTAAAAAAATAGAAAAAGAAGAACAAATGAATCACAAAGTCAGCAGAAAAAAAAGGAATAATAGAAATTAGAGCAGAATTAAATGAAAGAGAGAACAAAAAGGCAGTAGAAAAAAATTAATGCACCAAAGAGCTGATTATTTGAAAATATTAATAAAATTGGCAAACCCCTGGCTAGACCCACTAAAGAAAAAATGAGCGAAAACACAAATATACAAAATCGGAAATGAAAGGGGAGAAGTTATGACAGATACCACAGAAATACAAAGGGTCATACAAGAATACTATGAAAGAACATATGGTACCAAATTTAATTACCTAGAAGAAATGGGCAAGTTATTAGAAATATATAACCTTTCTAGATTGAATCACAAAGAGCTGGAAACTCTAAATAGACCAATCAGCAATAAGAAAATTGAATCAGTCATCCAAAACTTTCCCAAAAGCAAAAGTCTAGGACCAGATGGCTTAACTAGTGAATTCTATAGAACATTCAAAGGCTATTTATATTTAATACCTATCTTCTGAAACTCTTCCAAACCATTGAAAATGAGGCAACACTTCCTAACTCATTTTATGAGGCCAACATTATTACCCTGATACCAAACGTAGTAAGGATAACACACAAAAAAAGAAAACTCCAGACCAATATCTCTGATGAATACAAATACAG